ACCCCTCCCCACTGCTCTCGTTCCTTGTCGCCACTCTCCACCCCGCGCCCATCCCCTTCCCTGGTGCTCACCGACTTGGCTGAAACCACGACCATCTTTAGTTTTCCACGTGCGTTTCAGGGTGCTGGGGCGGGCGTGGAGGTCCTGTTCAGGACTCAGATGCCCACTGGCTGTCATCCCTGCGAAGCAACCAGAGGCCTGCCTGCAGGCAGAAGATAGTCTGGCGCATGCCAGCTTGGCAGCTGCGCAGAGATCAGGAGGCTCAGGGCGCACCTCCTGGCCCTGGCCCTGGCCCATCCGCTGGGAACAGCTTCCACCGGCTCTGTCACCCATCCCGCCCCACACCTGCCGCCAAGCGACACCCGCATTTTTCCTGGGCCCATCTGGTGCCCGCCTTGAGCCCAGCAAGCACCAGGGCAGGCAGGTATCCCTTCTACGTGAGGAGCCTGAATGCAGCCTGGGATGGCGGAGTGACTTAGGCTGGCACCTGCTCAGTCGGTTGGTTAGAACTGTGGCCCGAGTTTCCCACAGGCCCAGGGCTCTGATGAGGCTTCCAGTCCCTGGCTAATCCAGGGATAAGACATGGCCTCTTGAGTCTCCCCACGCAGCGGCAGGGGTGGGGTCCCCTCAGTGGCCTGAGTGCTGGTCTGCAGAGAATGCTTTGTAGACTCCCCAGGTCCCTCTTGGACGCAGGTGGGGAGGAAGCCCAAATAACTCACTGGACCAGAGCAGCCGTCCGTGGGTCCTGGGCCCTCCACTCTGGGGCTGGGACAGACTTCTTCCTGCTGCCCGGCGGAGCCCATCCAGCCATCTGCCCCGCCCCCTCTCCATCAGTCACTCACGCAGTGCCGGGCTCCCTCTTTGCCTCCCTGGCTCCTGGGCCAGCACATGGACCCAGGGGTGGCGCTGAGCCCTGCCATCTGGTGCCCCTCTGCTGGGCGGAGCTGCCGTGTGGCCCATAGTCTCACAACGTGGTGGCACCTGCCAATGGGGATGGTTGTCGGGGCCTTTGCCGCATGTCACATCAGGGGGGAGGACGAGAGGTCCGGGGCAGGGCAACACGTTCCCAGCCGCTCTGCGCCCAGACGCGGGGACAGAGCCGTTTGGGTGGCCTGGGCTGCAGGGGTCTGAGTTCGTCAAGGGGGTTGGGCTTTCTCACCATAACGGAGGGCCTGGTCAGGCGTTCTGCCTCGTGGCCGGGGACCCTTTGCTTCCGCGTCAGTCACCAACTCCGCCCTTTGCCTTTTGCAGAGGGTCTCAGTGCGGACTACGTGAAGGGGGAGAACCCGGAGGCCGTTGTGTGTGAGGAGCCCCAAGGTGAGGACCTCCAGGTCACTGTCTTGCTGAAGGCCTCCTAGCGGCTGGGCCCGGCACCGAGCAGAACTGGGTTAGGAAAGCAGGGACGCTCAGAGGTGGCCATTTCGAGAACTTCCAGCCAGAACGATGGGCTGACGCCAGGGACACGGGGAGCACACCCAGGGCCGTCTGCTCACGGTGCGGGCTCAGCCTCTGCTCCCCCGCCAGCGGAGACAGACTCGCGCCAGCCAGATGCCGGCGGAAGCTGTGGGGATCCTTTAGACCTTGACCCGGGCCCTTTCCATCTGAAAACTGCCACAGGCAAGAGGGAGGCCCACCCCCCGCCGTCCTGTGATCGTCAGGCACTTGCCGGCTGCGGTGAGCCGCCAGCAGTTACAGGCTGCGTGACGTCAGGCTGCAGGCCTGGAGTGGCCAACCTCTCAAGGCAGATGCAGGCCTGTGGCCCCAGAATGCCAACGAGGCGACCAGGAAAGGCTTCACGGAGAAGGGGAGCAGGCCGCTTGTCGTCAGCCAAGGCTGGGGCGGTGGGGAGAGACAGGAGCCCAGGCGTGCCTTTGCTGGGCTGGACGCGGAGGCTGCGGCCGGAGGGACCGCCCGGGGCTGCCATGGGCACGGTGCCCAGGCGGGGGGGGGGGGGGGCCATCATCTGAAAGATAAAAACAGAAATGATTCAGGTGATCACTTCCCTGAGGCTTTTTCTAGATGACATACATCTAAAATTTATCTGCATAAAGCAGTGGTTTCTCTGCTGGGGGTGATTTTGTCCATCCTGGGACACTTAGCATTTTTGGTTGTCATGGCTGGGGGGGGGGGGGGGGGGGGGGGGGCGGCGGCATCCGGTCGCTTAGGATAGGATGACGGATGGACTCGCTAGCCCTGGGTTTCAAACGTGGGAAAAGGGACTCTGCAGCTGCAGTCACTGTACTCATGTTTTCAAGTCTTGGCCACCACGGTGTTGGTACCTGCCATGGGCCAGGTGCTGTGTTCGTGCTTTATTTAAAGTACTCCTCCCTTGGGAATTCCCTGGTGGTCCAGTGGTTAGGATTCGGTGCTTTCACTGCCAGGTCCCGGGTTCAATCCCTGGTCAGGAAACGGAGATCCCACAAGCCATGCGGCGTGGCCAAAAAATAGAAAAAATTCGAAAAAACTCCTCCCGGCCACTGTGCCGGGACCATTCCCACTTTACAGATGAGGAATTAGAGTCCGAGCTCATCTCCAGGGCCACAGCGGGCGCCAGGGGCCAGTTGTCTGGGACAGACACACGGGGAACCGGATTTCTGTGCCCAGGGAAGGACGTGATCGTGTCTCTGTGTCTTCGTGTGGGGTGGACATGACTCGTTCCTGACGGGTTTCTCCTGTCCCTAGTGAAATACTCAGCACTGCAGACGCAGTCCGTGGAGCCGCTGCCGCCGGAGCCGCCCCGGATCTAAGGGGCTGAGGACGCGAGGCCCTGCCCCGCCAGGCAGGCTGTGGGCACACAGGGCCGCTGCTTGGGACCCAGCTCCTTGTTTCGTTTGGACCCACGGCTGCCACGCTGCTCCTTCGATGTCATTGGCTTCTTGTCGTTCTCAGTTTTCCGGACGAGCTCTGGGTGTTCGTGAGTTTGGCTCGTGCACCCGCCCTGCCGCAGGGCCTCCGGAGAGCCTTGCTGTGGAAATCCTTAGTGAGCTGGGGAGGGGGAGACCGAGCGGAGGGCGGCCGGAGGACACGCGTGCTGCAGGGCGAGAGTCTGAACCCGGGGCCCTGCCATGCCCTCCACACTGCACTGCCTCGCTGGGCGGCTTTCAGCCGCAGGAGCACACCAGTGAGCGCCGGGTGACACCGCTCATGTGCCACACCCAGGGGTGTTTTTATTTCTGTCCTTCTTTCCAGCTCCAGCCCTTATGCCGCTGGGCTTCCTAAGAGCTGGCGCAAGTGGTGGCTTTTCATTTAAGTGAAAACGTGCATGTCACAGTATCCCTGCCTTGAGAGTTCAGGAATCTTCTGGATGTGTAGGAGGCTGTGGCTCTCAGGCCTAATTCCCGTATGATGCCGTGGGACCGGACGTGGTCTCCAGGCTGACACGATTAGCCTGAGGGATCATTTATGCCGCGGCAGTGAGTTTTCTACTGGGCCTGGGGGCGTGTGTGTGCTTATTTTGGTAGCAAAAGCTACAGGCGTCAAGAATGAGCATCAGAGCCTGAAGCATGCCCGTTGGTTGCCTAAAGATGTACGCAGTGGGGAGGGGAGGGGAAAGGGACGTTGGCTTGGTGTGGGAGCTCACCTGACTCGGTGAGTCTCTAGTCACCCTGCCTGTCCTCTGACGGACAGCGCGTGGGGGCCCGCGGGCACCCGCACCGGCGGCCACCGTCGTGTTTGGCTGGAGCAGAGCTGCCTTCCTGGAACATTTGTCAGGCCCACGTGTGGTCCTGATCCTGGGAGCGCTGCTGTCGGGCTGAGCTAGAGTCTAGAGCCACGTCTATGGATAATGAGTTTGCGGTGTCAGAGAGCACTTCTGGGATCATCGTGTGAGTCAGCAGGAAGGCGGGGTCCTATTAATCCAGCTTCACGTGCTGCAGGACTGCTGTGTCAGCGCCTCCACGTCCGCTAGGTTGGGATGAGGCAACTCCGACTTCTTAGGGAGACAGTTGACATCTGAACAGACCCCGCAGCTTAGATGGCCTCGTGTGTTCGTGTTATACAGGGCATGCCGTGGGCCCCCCAACACCCCCGCCTGCAGGCTCATGCCAGGCAGGCTGGATCGTGTGCGGCTCCCGGAAGTGAGCAGCAGAGGGGTCGCTGGTGAGGTCTGCCTGTCCCCAGGACCTCCCCGCCCTGCCCTCGTGGGACAAGCTGTTGTCAGCTTTGCCAGGCTCGTCCCTTCCAGGCTGGCCAGGGCTGATGTCCCCACCCCCCTGCTGCTGGGCTGGAGGTGGCCCTGAGGGACTTTAGGTGACAGCAAGCTATGAATGCAAAACAGGGTGACCTCAGGGCCCAGGGAGGGCCCGTGTCCTGAGTAACAGGAGTTGGGGAGGGATCAGGGCGGCGCTCGGAAGCTCATCGCGTTAGGAGGGCTGCTCACCAACGTTCCCAGGCATTTTAAAGGAGACGAGGCAGCACTTGTGTGTGGTAAGATGCTCCTCTCCCAGCCACTGGGAAGTTTGGACATTATTATAGAGAAGGCACAGTCACGGCAGTGACTAGGAAGTGACGTGGCCCATGTGATTCTGGGCATGGCCAGGCACGGCGCCCCCCGGTGGGCCACCTCAGCTCTGCGGCCAGGCTCATCTGAGGTGAAGACCCTGAAATCCCTCTGCAAATCCATTTTCTCAGTTGCACTGACTTTGGTTAAGAGAGACCCATCATGCTCTTGTCTATCTCGGTGCCCTCTGTGGCAAGCCCGGAGCCCAGCACCCAGCCCTGTGCCAGTGACCGGAGAGGCCTTGAAAGAAGTCACTCACCCACCTGTTTGCAGGGCTCACATCCTGGGGACGGGGGTGTGGGGGACCGACACTGGCTGATGCCCGGGGGCTCTTGTAGCTGTGTCCACCTGGAGGCTGCATCGACCGGCTTGGGCCCGTCTCAGGTAGTAGTGGAGACAGTGAGTGAGCTAGAAAGGCCAGCTGACAGTATCTGATCACTGTCAGCTTAACTGGGGGCGGGGAGAGGGGGCTCAGTGTTTACAATAGCAACTCCGAGCCCCTGGGGGAAGGAGGCAGGGCAGCCTAGCCGGCTTGGGCGCCCTCCCGCCGTGGCACCCAGAGAGCAGCGCCAGGCCCACCGCCTCGGCTGCTTGGGGTGGGGGGTCAGTACCAGTTCTCTGAGGAAGAAGAGGTTGACACTGACCTCAGGATCCCCGGTACTTTCTCTGTGCTCGTGTTTAATTGTGAATCGTAAGCTCTCTCGTGTTCGCATTAAACAAAAGGGAGCCTAACAGATCCCTGTATTCTGACGGTGTGAGCACTCCCTTTGTTAAGCGATGCTGTTTTTTCCTAATTAGTTATATGGAGGCGACCTCCTTCCCCTCCCCGCCAGCCAAGGGCCTTTCTCAAGAGGGTTAGGGCTCTTGCACTTCCCCTCTTGCTGTGCGGCTTCGTGTCGGGCTTCCCGGGGGCGGTCCCCTGCGTGACACAGGGAGCTAAGGCCGTGCCCCATGTCACGGGGGTAGGGAGGGGCAGAGGCAGGCCCCCAGCTCGCGACTCCCAAGCCCACTGCTCTGCCTTCTTCAAAGAAAGCCAGTAGCCGGGGTTGACTCAGGTGACGTGTGACTGTTTGAGCCCGAGACAGCGGAGCGGGGCCGAGGCCGCGCATGCAGCGTGCTCTGCTGCGGACGAGGCGTGCGCTTGTCACACGGTGCGCCTTGCAAATTGAGAAGAGAGCGTGAGGAAGATGCGGGGGGCCGCTGGCTGGGCTTCCCACTGCGGTGGGTGGCGCCTTCCTGCCACAGCGGCCTTGTAGTAAAACAGCACCGAGTCCTCAAACCCAGCCCCCACGTGACTCTGCCGTGCGGAAGTTGCGGCCCTCCCCGGCCTTGCCGCTCGGGCGGCGCTGCCGGGGCCCACGGCTGCAGTGACTGCTGCGTGTTGAAGGAAGGGGATGCCAGGCCTTAGAAGAAGGGTGTCCGCAGGGGCTGGCGTGCTTTCATCCGGGCCTCTTAGAGCCCCGTAAAGGCCAGCATTCCCTCCGGAGACTCTGGGGCGCGGGGAGGGGGGGCCCCAGGGCTTCTCAGAAGTCTGTCCCACTTATGATCTAGGACTCACGGGCTGGAAAGCTGGCCCTGCTTCCTCGGGGCCACACCTGCCTCTCAGGGGATCCAGTCCTTTCCTCACACCTTCAGCATTTTCTCAAGGTTAAAGTGCAGGGGTGTTTCAGATTTTAAAATCAGAATAGTTACCCATTTCAGCCAAAACACTCAACTCATGATAAATTGCACTTACAACTTAGTAAATGAATTAAATCATCATGTAAGGGTACTTTACATGTACTAAACCGTGCTTGGCATATAATATTAATGACATGTATTGAATGTTTACTAATTTTCCACAAGGGAAAAATCACCAAAAAAAACCTTAAAAGGACAACACAAAATGAGACCACGGAGCAAACATTATTTTAATTACAGATTGAAATACAGTGCATCAGATGACGCAAATACAATACTGCACCAGTCTTTGAAAACCTGAACCGTAAAGGCTTTACATTCTAGTACACTTAAATAAAACCAAAAAAAGAAGTGCTTAGGTAACAAAACTGCACCTCAAGTTGTTTTAGAAACAGTTTTGTGCTAGGAACACACAAAGGCAAATGATCTGTTGTGCTGCTTTCAAACGGAATGGGAGCTTCTAGGGGTCTTCCTAGGGCCCAGGACGTTGACATTGGCGAGAACGACCCACTCGGCCTCTCTGGCTCTGTCAAAAGCATCCCCCAGTCCACACCAAGGTTGGCAGTCTCAGTGCAGCTGGGGATTATGGGATATTTCTGGGGAAAAAATGGGTCCCCATTTTTTAAAAATCAGTATGTCAGTCAATGTATAATGCAGTTTATCCCTTCATAAATAAGGTTTCAGCTATGTGGGAAGCATGAATCAAAAGTTGACGTCAATTAAAACACAGTTTAGAAGCAAATCTCCCAGATGATAAAAATGGAGAATTGATTTTAGGTTATCAAATTACCTCGAATAAATATTTGATACCTTATAGATACCAGATAATTTTCTATAAGAATCAGAAGGTTCCAAGCTGAAAAAACAGCTACTCTCTAAGTAAGTATTTGAGTGTAAAAAACCTTTAAGGATGATGTTTTCAAAACTCAGGTCCCTGTGTAGGGCTTTGGGTAGCATCCAGGAATTCGAAACCAACGATATTCTACAAGGCAGT